ACTCACCTCAGCCTCCCAAAGGCGCGGGATTACAGGCTGAGCCACCGAACCCAGCTGCATCTTGCTTTTTTAATAAGCTGGACAATCTTTGAGGTTTAAATATTTCATCTTGATATTTGCTTTCTGTTTGTCCCCATGTTCTTTGTTCCTGCCTTCTTTTCTTATTTTTAATCAAATACTTTTAAATATTCCCTTCTATCTCCTCTACTGGCCATTTAACTTTTCTCTGCATGTGTACATGTGCCTGTGAGTGTATGTGAGAGGAAGAGAGACAGAGAGAGTTTGTTCCGGGGAGATTTCACGTTTACATTTAAACTAACATTTATTGTCTACCAGCAATTAGCCAGTTACTGGGCTAAGCTCAACTCTATATGGTCATTAGATTAAATTTGTTCAAGCTTCAAGAAAGTTGCTCCCTGGTTACAGTATTTTAGTAAAGTGCGTTAACTCAGGAGTAAACCATGTTTGAGTTCAAATCCCAGCTCCGCCACTTGGCAACTGTGTCATTTTAGCGAAGTTACATATCTTTCGTAAGCTGTAATTTCCTTATCTGCAAAATGAGGAGCGTGAACGCTTTTGTGACATTTTACAGGGTCATTATGCAGATCACATGGAATAATCTATATAGATGTATTTTGAAAATGGCAACTGTAAATATGTAAGATATTATTACAGGATTTAATGCAAAACTCGTATCCACTCTCCTGACCTTTTATAAATATATAAATTTCAATCCTATCTCTATCATCTTCCTGAGCTGAAAACCCTTCTTTCCGAGCCCATTTGTTATCTTCATAATTTCAGCAGTTCTTTTCCCGTACCGTATCTATGATTAGAATGTATCCGATCAGCCGGGCGCGGTGGTTCAGCCTGTAATCCCGCGCCTTTGGGAGGCTGAGGTGAGTGTATTGCCTGAGCCCGCGGGTTCGAAACCCTCCTGGGCAGCGAGACCTCATCTCTACAATAAATCAAAAAATCAGCTGGGCGTGGTAGCACATGCCTGTAATTCCGGCTACTTGGCAGGCTGAGGCGGAAGGATCGCCGGAGCCCAGCAGGTCGAGGCTGCGGTGGTCGGGAGCGGCCACTGCACTCCAGTCTGGATGACAGAGTGAGACTCCAACTCAAAAAAAAAAAAAAAAAGAATGTATCCCATCAGTAACCATTGCATAAAGGCATACTCCTACTCATACTTCAAGGCCTAAACAGCATTATTTTTCCATGACAATTTCCTGCTTGTATTTACTCACTCCATCTTCTGAGATCCTCAGCTCTTATCCTATTGTTAGTATATACACATGTTCACTAACCTTACCCGAGTAAAACTCTTCCAAGGAATATCTGGTTCATCTCAGGATTTCTAGTGCTTAGTCTGGGACTTGGCACACAGTAAGTGCCCATAAATGCTGGTTGAATGAAACAATAGAGGTATATGGGTCAGGGAAAGAATGCTTTGTCCCTCGGAGTTTCGCTGCTGAAACCATTATCCTTGTGCAGATGTCTAACACGTGAAGCCCAGTATGTTGGACTTGTAGTCCCCAAGCTCTGACATCCATATCCCCTTTGCTGACGTGGAGGCAGTTCAGACGCCACTATCCTGTAATGCTGCATTCACCTTAGATCAACACATTGCCTTAAATATGCCTGGAAGACTTTTCAGAGTGACAGGCAGGCTTTAAAGCATAAATAGGAGTTTCCTGGAGTTCAGTGGGAAAGGAATTCAGAAAAAGGTAACAGTGCAGAAAGTCTTAAGAAATTTTTAAGTCCAGATTTCAGTATGGTATATGAATGCTCACTTCCCCCACTATAGCTGTCATTCTGCCCTCAAGTCGTACTGCATCAGCTGGAGTTCTCCCGGCCTTTCTCTGAGCCTCTGTATGTGTTCTTGGAATGCCATTTCCCTGACTGCCTTTAACCTGGCTAATTCCTGCTTGTCCTTTAGGTTTCTACTTAAATGTTACCTCCTCTGGGATGCCTGCCCTGACCACTTGCCCTGACCTCCCAGGTCCAAATTAGGTTTCCCTTCTCTGGGTTCTCACAGTAGCCTGAAACTTACTTCCTTGAAGCTCCTATGAGTGATGCTTGGCACAGAGTAAACCCTAGTAAACATTTCTTAAATGAATGAATCCCACAAGAATGCCTATTGCAAAGAAAGAGATTGAGAGCAAGTCCCTGTTTACTTCTTTTTCCACATCCAGCATTCTCCTGGTGTGCAGCCTGCAGATGTGAAGGAAGTTGTTGAGAAGGGTGTACAGACCCTTGTGATCGGCCGAGGGATGAACGAGGCCCTGAAGGTAGGCGTTGGTGTGCACAGCATTGCTGAGGACACAGAGGGGTCTCCTGGGTCTTTACATTACAGCTATGTCCTTCTTGGGAGTTGGTCTCTATCATGCACTCTCATTTTGCTGATTCAGGAATGAGTCAGGCTGCATACATCGCTCTGCCTCATCAGGGCTGGGCTGCCCAGTCTACCTGATTCTGAGATGTGTCATTTATTTATCAAAAATGCCTCAACCCCAGAATTTCTTAGGTTCTACAATTACCGGTATTTGGTCCTTTAAAATCTACTTTATATCCTTATAGTATATTTTATACTTTTTATTTTCTTGGATACATTTAAGGTATGTTCTTTTCCCCTTTCAGAAAAAAAGATTATTTTGCTTTCAGAAATAATACATACTCATTCTAAAGGACTCAAGACTCAGTGCAGAAATGTGGAAGTAAAAAGGTGAAGGATTTCCCCTCCCTAATCTCTACCATTGGTTACATTCCTCAAGTTCTCTCTGTATGTGTCTGCAAATACATACATGCTTGTACATACAGATATACATGTATATATGGATAACCACTTTACGTATATAGGATCAATATCATATGTATTGCTCTGTAACTCCCCTCCCCCACTTACCCTATTATATTATGGACAGCCTTCCACGTAAAGACCCACTTCATTCTTTCCTTTATATAGACGTTCTACAATCTTGTTCCCTACTGAGAAAGGTGCCCTTTATGTATTTATATTTTTTAAATTTAAACTTTTTTCCACATTACAATAATTCCTATCTGTAAGCCTTCTATGGTTATAAATTTTAAAAAATAGAAAGTAATAGAGAACATATTAAAAAATATTTTACTAAGGAGTTCTGAGGATGCAGAGTCTAATTAAAATCTATTTAAAAATATTCAGGATGGCCAAGCTCGGTGGCTCAGCCTGTAATCCCAGCACTTTGGGAGGCCGAGGTGAGTGAGTTGCCTGAGCCCATGGGTTCGAGACCCACCTGGGCAACTTGGCAAGGCCTCATCTCTACAATAAATTTTTAAAAATTAGCCGGATGTGGTAGCGCACGCCTGTAGTTCCAGCTACTTGGAAGGCTGAGGCGGAAGGACCGCTAGAGCCCAGCAAGTCGAGGCTGCAGTGGCCGGCAGTGGCCACTGCACTTCAGTCTGAGTGACAGAGTGAGACTCCGACTCAAAAAAAAAAAAAAAAAAATTCAGGACAAGACAGTTGAGAAAATATCTAATGATAGCTGCCACTGTTAAGAATATATTTTATATAAATTCATTTACAAATATTTATTAAGCACTTTCTATGGGTCAGGTACTACTCCAGAATTGGGAAAAGTGATTTAAACAAGACAAACAAGGTTCATGACCTTCATGGATAATAAAAAAGTAGACAATTTCAGATAACAAATGTTTTGAAGAAAATGGCAACTTAGAGGAGCTATGATGGGGTGTTCAAGAAAGGCCCTTCTGAGAAGACATTTGAGCTGCAGTATGCATACATTAATTTCATCCTCACCCCAACCCCGTGATGTAAGCATTATTATATTTTACAGAGGAAGAAATTGGGGCTGGGAGACTTTAAAGAGCTGGCCTAAGATTTCTTGGTTGGTACATGGCACAGCTGGAATTTAGACTCAGGCTGAACTGACTCAAACACTTTAACATTTACAGTTTGGGCTCTGCACCAGGCTAGACATTTTACATACCCTCAGCTGTACTGTCATACCAACCCTGCGAGCTAGGTGCTATCCATAATTCACAGACACTGAAACAAAGACTCAGAGAATGCAATTCAGTTACCAAGGGTTATAATGTTAGTAAGGACTTAAATCCAAGGCTAACTCCAGATTCCGTGCTCTTTTCATTTCCATTTCACTTGAGCTTTATACATGGGCATATCTGTCAGCTTCCCAGAGGTCTTTTTAACTCATTGGACTCACTGCCACATTCTGCACTGATGACACACTGGGTGATAGAGGTGTGACAGTCGTCACTAATTATGTAGGGTACAAATGCCTCATGACAGGAAAGGAAGCATTGTGGGGGCCGTTCCCCCTACTTACTGACCTCTCTTCCTCCTTCCCAGGTGTCTCCATCAACTGTGGAGTACCTCGAGAAACAAGGCATTGACGTGCGGGTCCTCCAGACAGAGCAGGCAGTGAAGGAGTATAATGCCTTGGTTGCCCAAGGGGTCAGGGTGGGAGGTGTCTTCCATTCTACCTGCTGATGGAGCCTTAAGAGAATAAATCACTAAGCAACTATGCCTGTGACCATCACTCTTACCAGTCTCCACACCAACCTCCTCTGAGCATTTTCGAACACCCACCTGAATCAGGTCGACCAACCTCCCCTGAGCATTTTGGAACACCCACTCGAGCCAGATCCCGTGCTAGGGTCCTAGGATGCACAGATGACAAAGGCAAGGTCCCTGTCCTTGAGGGTGTTAAAAGTCACAAGTGGAGACAGATGTTGACCAAGGTTTAATAATGTTGCAAGTGTTAGGCTGGAAGTATGAGAAACTTAAGACAAAAACTAAGCTTGTGCTTGAAGACCCGAGAAAAGTGCATTTAAAATCACATTTCAGGTCGGGCTTGGTGGCTCAGCCTGTAATCCCAGCACTTTGGGGGGCCAAGGCGAGTGGATTGCCTGAGCACACAGGTTCAAGACCAGCCCGGGCAACTTGGCGAGACCTCACTCCACAATAAAAAATAAAAGATAAAAATATCCGGGCATAGTAGCACACATCTGTAGTTCCAGCTACTCAGAAGGTTGAGGTGGAAGGATCGCCGGAGCCCAGCAGGTCGACGCTGGGGTGGCCATGAGTATATGTGCCACTGCACTCCAGCCTGGGCAAAGGAGTGAGACCCAACTCAAAAATAATAATAATAATAATAATAAATAAATAAAATAAAATCACATTTCAATTAATGTTTTGGAATGTTTATCCATGAATCCAACTAAGATTTTTTTTAGCACTTTATATGCCAGGTACTGCTATAGACTCCAGAAAAATAGCAATAAAAGTCTTGTTCTTGTGAATTTATATTCTAGTGGGGAATATAAACAAGTAAATAAATGCATAATGTTAAGCATAATCTGCTATGAAGAAAAGTAAAGCAGCACAAGAAGACAAAGAGTAATGGGGGCTATTTCAGATGTGTGGTGAGGGAAAGTCCCTGTGCAGATGACTTGAACGGAACCCTGAAGGCACGAGAAACACTTGAGTAACAGCAGTAGAAGGAGCATGCCCTGGGAGTGGAGTTCTGGTCTGGTTGTTTTACTAACTAACCCTGAGACTAGAGCCAGACAGTTCTCTTCAGGCTTCAGATTCTGACTCTAAAATGCTGGGGCTGGACTAGATGCCCTTTAAAGGTCTCCACTGGCTCAGATAGTCTTTGTTCTATTAAATGCCCAGGTGGCCTTTGTGAAGCCTTAGAATAGACTGAGAGAACTACAAGTTACCAGCATCACCTTATTTTTAGTTTTTTTCCCCCCTCTTTAAAGAGCTATGGGTTTTGGTGTCAAATAGCCTTGACTTTGAACTGCGGCTCTCTGCTGCTCGATGGTTGGGCATTTGTTTAATCTCTGTTTCACTGTTCTCATCTGTCAGACCGGGATAACATTAGTACCTGGAGTCACTGCAGATATTAAATGAGGTAATTCATAGAAAGTATTAGCTCACTGCCCAGCATGTGGTAAGGACTCAATAAGTTGAAACCACTGTTGTCATTATCTTTCTATTAATTGGGCTACTGTGTAAAGCCAACTAGTTTCATTTTATGGTTCTTAATATAGCAGCTTATTATTACATAGAATGTTAGAGCCCAAAGGAACTATCTCACTCACTTATCAGTAATTCTCTTTCATGCCCATTCACTGTCCTAAGTCTATTACTAATTTTCTTATGACCAGTTACTGCTGGGCCCTAGGAGAACAGGGATAAGTTTCCTGCCCTCAGGAGTTATGTGGGAGAGACAGACACATAAACAGACAATAATGACACAATGTGTTAATTATAATAGTTACAAGGTCCAGTGGTGGCTCAAAGAAAAGACTGATCTATGTTGCCTGGATGGAAGGAAAATTAGGAAAGACATCACAAAGGAGATGACACTTAAGCCAAGTCTTTTTTTTTTTGAAGCAGGGTCTTGCTGTGTCACCCAGGCTGGAGTACAGTGGCATGATCATGGTTCACTGTAGCCTTGACCTCCTGGGCTTAGGTCATCCTCCCATCTCAGTCTCCTGAGTAGCTGGGACCATAAGCGTGTACCACCATGCCTGGCTAGTATTTTTATTATTTTGTAGAAAGAGGGCCCGAACTCCTGGCCTAAGGCAATCCTCCTGTCTTGGACTCCCAAAGTGCTGGGATTACAGCATGAGCCACTGTGCCCAGCCTTTTTTTTTTTTCAGACAAGGCCTTGCCCAAGCTGGAGTACAGTGGCATGATCACAACGTTGCTCACTGCTGCATCAAACTCTGGGACTAAAGTGATCTTCCCGCCTCAGTCTCCCAAGAAGCTGGGACTACCGTGGGCACCACTGCACCCAGCTAAACTGAGTCTTAAATAATGAAATGTTCATTAATTCACTGAACAAACATTTACTTGGCAACTCTTTTAACTAGACATTTACGAGACACAGTATTTATCACAGGCATAACTAAAGACATCGTTCTCCCCCGGGTGTTGCTGAGGCAGCAGCCTCAGGAAGCTGATTTTTGCTGCATATGATCCTGCCACTTGGTTGGCCCAGTTGGGCATCTGACCTAAGGGCAGCCAATCCATGTACTGAACAGCAGTTTAAGGTATGGCTTAGCAAGAAAAGGTGAGTTACAATTCTTGGAAAGTGAAGGAATTTTTCCAAATTCACCCAGCAAGTGAGTGGCAGAGCCAGAATTAGAACCCACAACTGTAGCTTGATCTTTTTCTGGCATATGCATCACAGCTTTCTAAAGGCCCACAAGCCGGGCTCGGTGGCTCAGCCTGTAATCCCGCGCCTTTGGGAGGCTGAGGTGAGTGGATTGCCCGAGCCTGCGGGTTTGAGACCCGCCTGGGCAGCGAGACCTCATCTCTACAATAAATCAAAAAGTAGCCAGGCGTGGTAGCGCGTGCCTGTAAATCCGGCTACTCGGAAGGCTGAGGCGGAAGGATCGCTGGAGCCCAGCAGGCGAGGCTGCGGTGGCTGGGAGCGGCCACTGCACTCCAGTCTGGGCGACAGAGTGAGACTCCAACTCAAAATAAATAAATAAATAAATAAAGGCCCACAAGAGTGAGATCCTCACAAATCTGACACCCAGCATAGACATCTGGGGAGGTTCACTTAGTGTCCTTTTTGTAGCCTTCTCTGCGGTTGTCAGATTACAGGATCTTTCTAGATGTTCCCTCAGCTCCTAAAGCCAGCTTATATAGTTAGGAGGGATGTTTGATACAATTCAGGCTATTTCTCTAGTGATTCTTTTTTTTTTTGGTCAAGTGTAAAGTGAGACAGCTCCAGTGGGTGTTGAATTAGGTGTGGGTGTAATCACTGTTCCTAAGAGAGTTGTCTCCAATTAAACAGAACTAGTACAGACTTCTTAGAGACAGAAGTATCTGTCCAGAGGCCATTAAACTATGTACAAAATCTGGCTGGGCATGGTGGCTCATGCCTGTAATCCAGTGCTTTGGGAGACCGAGGCAGGAGGATTGCTTGAGATCAGGAATTTGAGCCCAGTTTGGGCAACATAGTAAGACTTTCTCTTACAAAACAAAACAAAACAAACACACTAGCTAGGTGTGGTGGTATGCACTTATAGTCCCAGCTACTCAGGAGGCCAAGGTGGGAGGATCACTTGAGCCCAGGAGTTGGAGGCTATAGTGAGCTATGATGACACCACTGCTGCCCAGCCTAGGTGACAGAGCAAGACCTTGACTCAAACTAGCAAACAAACTTTGTACAAAACCTACTAATTGGTAGCACCGACTTTTGAATCTGACCCACATGTTAATGATGAAAATATGTAGAATTTAAAGAGAAGCGATTTTTCCACGCGGCACTATACTCAGTCCCATGTCGTAATCAAATCCTTCTATTCCATTTGCAGGTTAGCACAGCCTCTCAATCTGCCCACACTTACTTTCTTCTAGCCTGAGTGGTTTTTAAGACAAGTCTACCAAGTGCTAGGTGTGTACCTTACTTCTCCATAGTTTGCTGAACTCAATCATGTCAAAGCAAACAAAGTCCTTTCAGAAACCTGAATCTCAGAGCTTGCTTTTGCAGTATGCTAAGATACTACTAAGTTTCTCTGGATTCATATACTCATTCTTTCCTTGCCTGGTATTTCCAGGAGTTGTGCTCTGGATACAACACCATTCTTTTTTTTTTTTTTTTTGAGTTAGAGTCTCACTCTGTCGCCCAAGCTGGGGTGCAGTGGTACACTTATGGCCACCACAGCCTTGATCTGCTGGGTTCAGGCGATCCCACTTTAGCCTTCCAAGTAACTAGACTTACAGGCATGCGCTACCATGCCCAGCTAGTTTTTTTACTTATTGTAGAGATGAGGTCTCGCCAAGTTGCTTAGGCTAGTCTCGAACGTGTAGTCTCAGGCAATCCTCTTGCCTCTGTCTCCCAAAGAGCTGGGATTACAGGCATGAGGCACCGTTCCCTGCAGTTATCAAGGTTTTTTAACTGAGCATTTTTTACATGAAAATGCAGATTTCTAGCTTTTCTAGAATGGGAAGATCTGACACCACCAGGCCTACACCTATAAATTAATTGAGTGGAACAGATTAGCAGCTGCCTTCTCTGACAGAATATGTTCTCCAATTCTTCAACTTCTATTTTCTTCTTGGCCACATTCTTCCTTTACTTTTCCTGCCTACCTTTAGGGGTTTCGCCTGTGAACCTACAATGCAATGATAAATTCTATGCTTAGTAGGAGGCTATGGGAACACAGAGGCAAAGTTCCAATCCAATAGGAGACAGGTTTGAGAACGAGGCCTAGTCCTGAAGAAAGAGAGGGAAGGGAACATAGGAGACTGGAGTACATTCCAAAGCTCAGTAGATCCAAAGGCCTAGAGGTAATTCTGTTCAGCTGGAATGGTACAGAGAGGTTTGGGATAGGGAGCATGAGGCCAGAGACAAAGAAGAGCCTTCAAGGACAGGAATTTAGACTCTCCCTGGGACCAGCAGTGATTCACTTAAAGGGCCTTCGCAGGGTAATGGTGTGATCAGATCTGAGTTTTAGAGAGATTACCTCACTGCTGTGCGAAGAATGGACTGGCGGCAAGATCATC